AAGCAGACTCCCCACTGAGCCAGAGGCCAAAGTGGGACTTGATTCCATGACCCTAAGATCATGACCTGAGCCAAAACCAAGAGTCAGACCTTAACCAACTGTGCCACCCAGGAGCCCCAAGGCGGCTAATTTTTCAAACCAACACCTTAGGAGAAATTAAGGGTTTCTTGATGTTCCCTTAACTTCTGGGACCAGCAGATAATACATTTACTAAAGGACTTTTATGTTTAATGTAGACATTACTTCTGGTTTGTAAAGAAAATACCAGATGGTTCTCTTCCCATCTATGCTGTATAAAGCATAGTTTTCGTATTTCAACATATAAGTCTACTATACTAAAAGTCTACTAGATGAGAATGTTAATTCCTACCAGCCTCTCTGCCTTTCTCGCCTCTCACCTTGTCTTTCAGCTGCTGCTGATCTTCGCCTGTTCCAAAGCTAAATATTAGAACCAGACTTTTTGTGGTTGTTGCTGGATAGTATTAGATTCCCATTCCCCGTTCCTAATTTTATTTATTTTCCCTGTTCCCAATTTTAAAAATGAATTGTCTCCAGAAAAGTCGTTTCCACACCCTAGTTTTTAATTAGCAAACCTTATTGGTACGTTGTTAAACTGCTGTGGTTTCCAGTAGCAGAGTCGAGGGCATTTGGATGGGAAGGTAGTACAACTGTTGGTTTTTTTTTTTTTTTCCCAGACGTTCCCTGGATCAGTCTGATGATGTTTATTATTCTGAGTAACAGCTTTTACTATAATTGGGCGAAGGCATGGGTTTTAGTTATACTTGCCCTTGCAAGGCATTGCTAGGAAGACTGGTTAGCAATGCACTTAATTGACTCGTTGGAGCCTGCAAAGCCCTAGCCTTGAGACCGAGCTATGCCCAGCTCTCCCCACAGAGGTCTCCCTCTGCCTGTTTTCAGACTTAGATCCCAGCCCCTAGCTGCGGGCAGAAACTTTCCTGCTGAAATGGACAGCTCTAATGGCTTAATGTAAATTGGAATATGTGTCATTAAGACTAGGATGCCAGATGGCTGAGGGCTCAGCTGTCTGCCAGGGTAAGTGGGTGGAGCCAGAGAAATGAAAGGTGGGGGTAGGGAATGCATACAACTCATGTGTTATTTTTAAAACACTTGAAGAAATATGGACCATTGGCCAGCTTCCTATCCCAGGAGTACTTTTTCCCCCTCAGCTTGACCCTCCTCCCTGGAGCTTACATTGAAAAAAAAAAAAAAATCAGTGTTCTTTATTAGTTGCCCCAGCAACCATGGAAAGCCTGGGAGAGTGATTTCAAGAAGGGCTTGAAGGTTCCCTTCCTGGTGTCTGCAGAGGCTGAGAACCGTTCTCATTTGTAATAGCTAGCAGCCTGGGTTCTGCAGCTCATAGCTTGGGGATGGCAGTTGGGTGGGGGCGGTGGGGAGCAGGTAGGTGGGGATAGTGAGTTCATGAAAAAAAAATGTAAGATTGGCTTTGTTTATTTTTTTGTAGGAATTAAACACTTGTAACCCACACCTTGATAGTGGGAATGTGTCATGAAATAAAAAAGAATTGAAAAGTCAAAAACAATTGGCACTTTCTCATTTAGAGAGGGAAGTAAAATAAAACCCACTTCTACCATAAGTAATAAATGCTGACCAGTTCATTTTTTCTTCATTTTAAAGCCAGGCCTGCTTAACAACCTCTGAACTAGAAGGAGCTAAGGAAAGGAAGTCCATGCTTTCTGAGGCCATGTATCTTGTTATATGTGTTTGTCAGAAGCTGGACTGAGGAGGGGGTGGCTTCCTGGAAGACCTTTACAATTTAAGGCGGTGACAGCCAGATTGCCAGGGCAGTTGGAAGGTCTTGCCCCCAATTGTCCATCCCCCTTTTCCCTTTGATCCTAGTTTTAGAGCCTAGAGAGGTTTTGGGAGATTTCCTTTAAGTGCTCATATCTCTGGTTGATTGCGCCCCCACCCCACCCTGCTTTTCCAATGAGTTTGTAGCCCTGTGAACTTAATAAAGGAGAAGAATCATACTTCACTAACAAATCAACTTAATTTGATTTCAAAGCTCTGGCAGCTGGTGATATGAGAATACTTAAAACTCCAGACAGACTGGTGGACATTCCTTTGAAAAAGCTGCCTTTTTTCCTGAGTTCTCTTGTTTTATGGATTACGTTAATTAATTTTGTAAGAATTAAGTCTGAGTGTGATGGTTGATGTGTTGTTGAGAGAAATTTCTCTTTAAGAAGTTATTGAAAGTCTAGCTAAAAATGAGCTTGCCTCTGGGGCAGAAGCAGAAGAGAATATACCAAGTCTGTTTTGGCTTCCAGTCTGTTGGCTTCTGCGTGCAGTGTAAGGCATTGTTTTCTTCTGTAAAGACTTGAATAATCGCATTTGCTGGAGTGAAGTCATCTGCTATAAACTTTGAGATGGGCAGAAGCAAGTTTCCTAACATTTCCTCCCTATGAAATCTGGCTGGGCTTTCTGAAGCTGAGAGAGAATTCTCACTGTGCTGGGAGAGACATAAGATTTGAGGCCATGCTTTCAAGCAGTGTTGGGTAAATTGCAACAAGTTGCCTTTTAGCTGTCCTTGAGCCCTTAATCTTTTCAAGTTAACCATCTGTTTGATAGTTGCATTATGTACCTTTTATTTTTATTTTATTTTTTTTAAAGATTTTATTTATTTGACGGAGGGAGACAGCGAGAGAGGGAACACAAACAGGGGGAGTGGGAGAGGGAGAAGCAGGCTTCCCGCTGAGCAGGGAGCCCCATGTGGGGCTCGATCCCAGGACCCCGGGATCATGACCTGAGCTGAAGGCAGATGCTTAACGACTGAGCCACCCAGGCGCCAGCATTATGTATCTTTTAAAGAAAGAATGAAGTTTTATTAGTTATAACTATAATTATATTAGCATAATTAGCAGTATGTCATAAAATTAGTGTTTGCATCTTGCTGGAATACTGGTGGCTCTTAGCAATGTGACTGCATCATGTTACTTGGAAATGGAAATAATTTCTCGTTTGATTCCTCCTTCACCAACAAGTCTGATTTTCCCCAGCAGCTGTGGGCTAGCAAACAGAGGAGGAATACTGCCACTTCGGTCCAGAGTGTTTATATGGGGGATGAGGTGGGCAGTGTTGGCATGTGCTACACAGACCCAAGGCTTTGTGCTCTTAATCTCCCTGGGAAAGTGGCCCAGAATTCGAAGCAGGAGGGCATTGGGTGTCACCAGCTTTGTTTGAGAAGCACTTCAATGTGACATTTGTGTCTTAAGAACCTAAGAAATGCTGCATTGGCAGAGATCTGGGGCCCATCCACCATGCATTCTGTCTCTGATAATGGGCACCAAAGGCTGATTTGTGGGAAAGCATTCTTCACACTGGCAGCCTCCTTGGCTTTGTGATAAACCCCAGGCTCTCTGGCTTCCTATAATAGTCCATGGTGGATATGTTATCCAGGAATTTTTAAAAAATCCTCCTTGAATCTATTCATCCTTGCCAACTCTCAGGGTGACAAATTCCAGAAGTCAGCAAATATTTGAATGCTTAGTTTATGCCTAGCATAGTACCAAGCATTGTGGAAGATACAAACGATGCTTAATACTTGATCCCTACCTTTGAGCTTAAAATACTTTTTTGAGGAGACAGGACTCAGTTGCATCTTGCAGAAAAAGATGGGCAGTGATATTACATATCCCATGGGAACACCAAGCACACCACAAGTGGATCAAATTCATAGTAACAGAGGTCACAGAGACTGAGGTCTTAACACAAAATGCCATATTATTAATAATCCGTTTTGAAAAATATAACTGTCTGTCAGACTTGGCACTGTGCTCTCTCTTTATATGCAAGCCTAGTGGAAGGCCAAAGGATTGAGTCATTGACTATGACAGGCCGATACAGCCATTTTCACTATACCTGGAAAAAGACTGCATGCTTTTGGTGCATACTATTCTAAAGCTGCTTGATCTTTTTCATGTGTGAATACATTCAGCCCTAATAGGCCAGCCCCGTGTCAAAAATGCCTGTGCCTATCTCTGCTCTATCCATATTAGGTGCTTCAGAGTTTAGAACTTGAAGGTAATTCTGCTTTCCTGAATTATTTTGAGAAGGGAAATCCGTACTGAGTATTGATCCCTCCCCATATTGTACCTCCTACATAGGCAGCAGACAATACAAAACAATGTGGGATGAAGTGCTAAATTATGTCCTCTAGGCTACATGAGCCGGACAAACAAATCAGAAAGAAGAGAGGTCGGTGTGGGATGAAATGCTAAAGAAGGGCTTCTGTGTATGGCAAAGATGAGACTTGAATTCTTACTTTAGAAAGTTGAAATTTAAGAGACTCTTAACAATAGAGAACAAACTGAGGGTTCCTAGAGGGGAGGTGGGTGGGGGAGGAGCTAGATGGGTGATGGGCATTAAGGAGGGCACTTGTTGTGATGAGCGCTGGGTGTTGTATCCCACCAATTCAGTGATTCACTGAATCCTCCTGAAACTAGTATTACACTGTGTTAACTAACTAGAATTTAATTTAAAAAAAAAAAAAAAGAAAACTTGAAAAAACGGAAATTTAGGGAACAGAAGGTAGGGAAGCAGGAAGTAGGAGCATAGTGTGAGAAGCATTGTGGAAGATAGAAATGATGCTTCATACTCGGGGCGTTATGCTTTCATGTTTTGGTTGCCCACCTCCTCCTCAGTGGCATCCAGCGTTCAGCCTTTCTGGCCGGAGTGCATGAGGCAGCGCGGGCCATGGAAAGCCTGGTCCTTAACCCTGACTCTCAGGATCCTTATTTGCATTACCCTGGGGCAGAAGCAGAGGAGAAAAATACCACCTACATCTGTAAAATACCACCTACCTTGAAGATTTTTGTTGTTGCTAGGATTAGTCAGAGAATGTATAAGAACGTCCCTGGTGCACAGTGCGTACAACGTTATCCTGACCTACAGATTGCCAGGTCACCTGCAATTCCTGTACTGGTTGATGGGACCCCGTAGAGAGGTAGCATCGTGGCTTACTTCCATACAAGCTCAGTCTCCCATGTCGCAGAGATCTTTGCGTTACGCCCCAATGGCTACTGTGGTCTTCTTTAAATGGTCCATTCGGCCTTCACAATCTTAACAAAGTTATTGCCAAATATTTCAGTACTGATCAGTTTCATTTTCCTCATTGTAGGTGCGGAATGGCCACATCAAAAGAATCACTGATAACGACATCCAGTCCCTGGTGCTAGAGATTGAAGGAACAAATGTCAGGTAGGCAGCCTGCCTGTTCACCCGGAGACCCCCGCACCAGCGAGGCAGTACGTCGTGGAGGCTAATAGCAGGGACTGCGGGGCCGACCACCCACTGGGGATCCAGCTCTGCTGCTCACACCTTGCCCCGGGCAAGTTGCTTGATCCCCCAGGCCTTAGTTTTCTCATCTGTAAAATAGGGATAACAGGACACCTTCCTTACGGGGTTATTGTGAAGATTAAGTGAATTGTGTATAAACACACTTAGCGCCTGCTCAGCCCATAGTAAGTGCTGTGTGTTAGTTATGTTATTATACGTAACCAAGGCTCGTGGACATGCATGGGGGGGGCGGCACTAATCATCCAGTGGGTGGCCTGGGCCACAGTGTGGTTTTCCGGGCCACAGTGGTCTTAGTTGGGGTTTTCTATCACTTGATGGCTCTCTTAGACCAGAGGGGAGTCTTCTCTCACTGCAGGAAATTGCTCAGCTCACCAGCCTGGCTTTGTTTTTCAGGTATTTTCTTGTTGATATATAGTTCTGTGTGAAGCTTGTGTTTCAGAGTCCACCATTGTTTGTTTGTTTGTTTGTTTTTTAAAGCATCCGGATTGAGGGATTATTAGATGATGTATCTGGATCTTTTAGATCTACTCTCCAATTTACCTCTTGGACCGAGTGTTTTCACGGTGTATACCACAGAGGAAAAGGCAACTGGTGTGTTTACTAGTGTCCCCTCTCTCTGCAGCACCACATATATCACGTGTCCTGCAGACCCAAAGAAGACGTTGGGGATTAAGCTTCCCTTCCTCGTCATGATTATCAAAAATCTGAAGAAATATTTTACCTTTGAAGTACAGGTTAGTAGATGCACATGAATGTGTATACTCTTAGCTCTCCCAGAGGGATAGCCTGTCAACTTGCAGGAGAAAAGTAGCTCTAGGAAAGTATCCTTATTCTTTTGTGTGTCTTCTTTTCTGCCTCTGCTAGACACTTGATACGGCCATTATTATGACAACATAAAGTTGGTATTAGTAATCAGACTTTCATGC